GAAATATTTGAAAATAAGTATGCTGCTTGACATGCAAGATGAGATAGGGAAACAATTTCAAACACAGACGTGCCCCCAGGGAGTGAGTAACATAAAAATCTATGGACAGGATAAGCTTTTGTTACTGCCTCCAAAGACAGGGGATTTTTGTTACTTTCTCCTTTTCAGATAACCATAGAATGCCACCAAGCTGTCACTCCTGTGAGTTTGACACATTTCCATGATGTATTATGCTTTGTCCCTCAGTCCTTAGAGATAATACCAAGATTTTCAGTAATGGACGCTGGTTAAATTCCTAAATCCATATTTCAGCACAAGTGACCTAATTTTTAATGGTTCTGAGCATCCGTCAGAGCCAGAAGTTTCACTGGGAGCTTCAGGGTTCTCAGCACTTTGGCAGCTAGGAGCTATAAATCTATTTTGGGGTTCACAGCTTTGAACATCTTCACCCTTATCTTCAAGATTCCTCGCAGTACTTCCTGATGGCTCTCTTCTCTGATGCTGCATTGGACTTATGCATCCAGACTTAACTTGGCGAAGCTGAGAACAGAACTGGCTCAAAACACTCAGTCCTTGTAGAATTTCAAGAAATGTCCAACTGACCTTTAACTTTTCTGGCCCACTGACCTGCCTCTATCCTTTCTTATGTTCCTTACCACCTTTGGATAGTTGCCTAATTCTTCATGTGACATTAGGGGACAATAGGAGACAGAATAGGAAAGTCCTACTAACTCTGGTCCTTTGCCAAAGCCAGATTGTTCATATTATTTAACATCTGAAATAAACTAGTATTAACAGATTGAAATGACTGGGTATCTCATAGTTCCCTAGGGAAATTATTTCACATCTAACAGGCCTTGACAGCCCATATTCTGCAATTTACTTTTTCGTCTTTTAACTTTTAAACTTTTTTCCAGTCCTTTTGAATAGTGCCAGTCCTCCACTTGCACACCATATAAGTATATTTTGGAGGGTATACCATCTACTCATTCAGCTACCACCTCTAATTTATAGTTCCATAGATTTTAAAGTCAGAGGCAAGCATGGAGTCTGACTTTCTGCATAACACAGGCTGTTGAATGTCAACAACTGCTTCCTTCACTGAGCTCTCATTGAGTTAAAGGATACCTTCTAGAATGGTATTCTTACATATAATTGACTCAACGTCAGTTAACAATTGGCACTCTAGAATAATTGTATGCTGCATCTTACATTTTGCTGTATTCATTACATTCATTACAACCTTAGTGCATCTAATAAAACTGTATAGTTCCTGTCACAAATGTATTAAGTGAACTGATGTGAGATCAGTACAGAAACTGTTTTTACCTGGTTCCTGATCTGTTGTCATTTTCTAGCTGTCGGATGAGAAGCTTGGCTATGGCAGTGAAACTGTTGCTCATACGATAGATATCTCTGCTCTGGGTGCTTAGGATATTTGAGAAGCTGTCGGTGATACTCTTAATTTCCAGCAGAAGGATATGGTGAAATGAATGCTCCATGTTGGCTAGCTGATTTACCAAACATACCAGACAGATCCTGGCTCTTTCCTGTCCATAATAAAGAGATAAATCATTTTTAAAACAAATGCATTTCATACTTGTTTAAAACTAAGGCTGATTATTATGTGCATGTTTTTTAAAAGAGCACAAAGTTAGTGTGCAACAAGGGTCCTAGATTATTTAGAAAGGGACAACTGTATCAACTAGTGAAATTATTTTTTTGTTCAGTTCATTTACAATTAATTTTTTCTGTATTTGTCTATGCTAGCCTAATAGTACACCTGACTCACCATTTAATCACATAGAGAAAGATTCTAAGGACACTCTGGACAGTATTATCTTCTGGATGGCTCCATGACCTGCTGCTTACGAAAGCTTATGCATCTGTGATTTAGTTAGTCTACAAGGTGCAAGTCTACCCTGTCTTCTGCCTGACTTCAGACTAACATGGCTAACTACCTTCCCCTGGAAAAGTTACTTGAAGGGGAATCAGCTGACCTGGCTTCTACTTTTGTTTCTGCCTCTGATCTGCTCTGGGTCTTTGGATAAGTCAGACTTTCTATGCTTCATCTTCCCCTGCCATCATGGGCTTTTGCAAGATCTGTTTCTGACCAGATTCTCATTCACATTGCTCTGTTAAGGTAACTGAGCCTCAAACAGCCTACATTTACATCCACATTAAGTTCCCCTTACACTAATGTAAGGGAGTTTCTGTATAGATGAAAATCAAGCCCCAAATAGACACGCAGAGAGCAAAGGTTCTTACAAATGGGAGTTGGTTTATGGCAACACAATCAACTTGTATTTAGAGCTAAAGCTGTAATGAAGACAAAAGCTTAACCTCATTGATCTAACCCTGTAGTCAGTCTGAGGTCTCCCATTCAGTTCAGTGAGAGAAGCATCATGCTCCATATTGTATGTTAACAAAGATGCCATTATTTTATTCCAAAGACATTCTTGGATCTTCTTTTGGCAACCACAATTAACTTCAAGTAAGTATAATAGCAATAAGTACACATGTTGACCCTGAAGTAATGCACCAAGATTTCCTTGTTTGGTTAGGATTATTCCAAGGGCAGGACTCCTTGAAATCAATGAAGCCTACTCAGTACGCATTTTGTAAAATGTTACAAAAGCAGGGGAAACTTTGGCCTGAAGGATCTGGAGTAAAATGCAATAAAAAACATTCTAGCAATATCAAAAACTGTTCTTCTTGGTTCCCAAAAGCTGGCAGAAAAGAGGGGGGAAAACATCAATTTATTTGTCATATATGTTCCAAGTGTAATACAGGAAACCAATATTTTTTACCTCCATTCTTCTTGGAACTATGCATCTCTGAAAGTTTAATTTCAAGTACATCTGGGATATGAAAATGCTGGAGAGATGTCAGCAAAATCATTATCTAAATATTATATTAAAAACATTTATAAAAGAAATTTAGTGGGTTCATTTCCAGTGGAGAATTATTTAATATAAAGCATGGTGACTAAGATAAATGAGGGATGAGTTTCTTCCCTTCACACTTATATTAAAAGATAACTATTGATGAATCTATGCATTGGAATGGAAAGGTCTGACTCAGTATTTTTTTCTTCTACTGTTGAAAGCTTTTAACTTTTTGGTATATACTCAATATTTTGTTTGGAAAATCTTCCTTCAGGAGATAAACATGAGCTCAATTAGCATTTGAAACATATTTTTGTTTCCCAAACAATGTGCGTAGCAGACATAACTGGAACAGAAGTTTCCACCATTTTCATGCCACTTTGATCCAGCTGGAATGACTCCAGCAATGCTGAAATGCTGCTACTCGCCTAGAGTGAGGTAGAACAACAATAAACTCTAGGCAGTAATATATGCAATTATTATACAAAGCAAAATAACTCAGCATGAAAGCAGTCATTATTTCTGCCATGATTTAGACCAAAAACCTCTCAAAGATATGTATTTAGATGTAAATGACCTTTGTTATTTTAAACTCAATTATTCTGTGGATTGGTATACTTTAGCATAAGCATTTTTTGCTATTGATGGTATTATATCATCTCTTGAGCTGTGACAATTTGAAATAAAGAAAACAATATTAAAAACATTTTTCTTTATTGTATCAAGAAGGATCAGGAAACTAAAAACAAATCAGGAGTTAATCCAGAGTTTACTTGGAGAAGCTGAGAACAGAATTGGCTCAAAACACTCAATCCTTGTAGGATTTCAAGAAATCTCCAACTGACCTTTACCCCCTGAAATGGAAGAGTTTTTCTTTACAAAAGTTGAGAGCTAAGGGCCAAATTCTGCTTTCAGATTCATGTATAAAAACCCCACTGATGTCATGACACTGTAGGTTTCATGTAGAAATGAGAATCCCCTCTAAATAAGTGGACGCCCTAGACATTTCTAGCCAATAATCTCATCTGCCTAGGAATCCATTTAAGCAGTATGAGAATAGGGTGACCCTAGAAGGCATTTAATGTAATTCATTCAGTGTAAGGGTGAGGCCTTATTTTCATGTCTTATTTTCTCTCTTGGGCCCCTATGCGCGTACTGCCAGTTGTGAGTATACCCTATGGAAAACCTGAATCCTTGCCAAATCCTTATTCAAGTAAACTTCCCAATGAAATCAGGTAGGCATAAATACTTTAGGATTTGACTCAGTACCATTAAAATGAATAATATCCTTAAAAGGCTGTCTTAATTTCCTGCAAAACAACAAAATGTCAGAAGTACCTTTGCCATTTCTCACCTACTTTGTTTGTATGAGGTTTCTACTTTTGACACAGCTCTACATCTACCTGGTCCACGCTAAAGGTGTACCTGTAACAAAGCTCTATTCCTAGCCATTACATAAAGGGGGGAAAAAAAAGAATCAGAAGTGAAACATTTTGGAAAGGCTCTTGAGATTTGGTTTTTACATCACTTTTAAGATAAAGGGTCATCAGTGCATATCCATTGCTAGGAATCATTTTATTGTTTATATATCTCTACTTGAGATCAGCATCAAAGTAAATTAGGCAGTTTACTCTGGTGACTTGCTGCAATACTTATGACTAAATAGCTATGCTTGGATGAGGTTGTTATTTTCATTAAATGGCATGGGTACACCAATTATCTGTTTTTGAAATACTTCACATGTATTCAGCTTTTATGATGTCAGCTGTGTTTCTGCTTATGTTCCCTTTCATTGATTGGCTGCACCATAGTAAATAATGACCAAAGGTTGTACATTAGTGGAACTTCTGGAGGATTCAAAGAGGTTTTAATCTACATATGAACCACTGGAGGCTTTAGGGGCCATTGCCTCTCTCTTTGCTCACTACAGGGTGTCTCTCTTCTCTCTCCAAACAGAGTTATCTTATGCAATACTTTGGGGAAAAAAAAGAAAGCCTTGGGAAGGAAACTGGAGCATGATCTGAGGATTGTCTTGTTATTATGGGAGACAGAAATGGTTTGTCTCTGGACAAAATGAACTACTTGCCACAAACATGCCTAAGTCCAGAGAGGGCCTCAGACCCACCAAAACAGAATTTATTACATGGCCATTAAAGTATCCCTTAAGCACTTTTTCCTAAGCATAATGTAGACAGGCCTGAGGGTATGCATAAACTTCAGCAGCCTCCAGGGGCTACCGAGCCTCCCAGGGTTACATAAAGCAGCTTCACTCCCACTTGCTCCCAGCCCCACTTCAGGTGTACTCTTCCCAACTTTGACATACCAAGCACTTGGAGCCTCAGAGAGGGAGCACCAAAAAACAGCCTGTAGCTTGCTCCTTCATCTACATCAGGGCTGCCCAGCTAGTACCCTGTGGGCCTGTGCAGCCACTTCTCCCACTGCCACATTATGGGGGGACATGGAAGCCGCACACCACTAACACCAGCCATGTGACTCAGCATATTAAAAGCCTGGAGCTCAGTCTTGCCCCATCTCCTGCTGGCCTGGGTGGCAACAGAAGAGAACCCAGGCAGCACCGGTACCCAGGGAAGCTGCAAGACCCAGCAGCTACAGGGTAGGAGTGGATGGGACCCTGGGAGACCATGGAGGGGGTTTAGGAGGGCATTGCAGCTAGTACAGATGAACTAGAGGACCAGGTGTGGCTGGAAGGGTGGTACGAAGGCTACAGGTGGGGCTGCCTGGAAAGCACCCTGCCCTTTGAGAAGCTAACACCTAAATATTGCTCTTCCAGGGTCTGACACCCAGATAGTTACATGGAGGCTAAAGCCAAATTGTTGAGAGGGTGGAGAGCATATTTGCTCTGGGTCAGGGACACTTGGGGGGTTATGGGGGCTGGGCTGGACCTACAGTAGCTTTGTCTTTAGTCAGGTACTCCAGGGGGCTGGAACTGACAGGGAGCAGCTTTGCCTAGGCCAGGGGCACCAGGGAGCTAGGACAAAATATAAGATAGGGCCAACGGCCCAGGGAATGAGACATGGGCAGGCTGGGGCAGAAAGGGCCAAGAGCCACGGGCCTAGTATAATCAACAGTGAGGGGCGGAGGTCAAGAAAGCACAGCTTAAACAAGTGGGACAGAGCTGGAAGCCTGCAGCCAGAATATTGACGGGCTAAATCCAAACGGGCTGAGGCCACTACAGGAAGGAAAAACATTGACAGAGTAATACCTGAGAGGCACAGGCGTGGCTGCAGAGGAGTATATAGGCCACAAATTTAGTACTGAAGACAGTTAGAGCTAGAGGGGTCCAAGCCATAAAAAGAGATTATGTACAATGGAGTCAGAGCCCCAGGCCTAGGGAGAGATGGGGTGCAGCAGTGTCAGAGCCCCAGGCTGATAGACTGTGTGAGATGGGGTCAGAGCCCCAAGTCAAGTGGACCAAGTCAGGCCTAAGGAGGAACAGAGAACTAGAAAGAGCACCCAGAGCTCACCAGCCTCCCCTCATTATATATACCATCGAAGTGTGGAAGACATGGGGGCAGAGTGAGACCCTGAGAGGCTGGAGTATGAGCAGGGCAGAACTAAGGGGGTGTCATAGCTGCCTTTGTGGCATGTCCTGTTACAGCCTGTCCCCCATAGCACATGTCTCATGTGGTGCATGACCTAGG